ATTTATTGCATTATATATGAATTGCTCTATTACTTTCTTCCATCTTTCAGAAAGCCTCATTCCCTTTTTACAAAATATTGCTTGAGGTACCTTTTTATTTCGCTTACGAATTGGAATCATTTATCATGAAGAGAATTTTTTTAGCGAGTACAGAAAATACGATAGAATGTCCCAATCAATCTGTAACAGCTTTTCTCTTACAATCAACATGCGGATTTGCATTGTCGTGATGTCTTCATCGCTAATTTTGGCCGTTTTTTTGCTATGGCATCCTTCAATTTATCAAGTTGATTGCAATATTTTCTAGAATTGATGGTTTCACCTTTAGAAAGAAACTCATAATAAACTACACTTTTCCAATCTCACCAAATGCATAAAAGAATTCGGATGAAATCTTTCGCGATAGTTGAAGGTCTATTGTTCTTAAATCAAGTACATTTTCGATACACCTTTTGACAGAAAATCTAAGTCTTATTTCCAGTGATAAGTGATTAATCTTTTTAAAAAAAGATCTTTTTCATATTGTTGGAAAAGGAAATCGCATGTAAAGACGCGGTTCATAAAGTCGGTTTCCGACAATAGCTGTGGAACTCAAACTTCACATCGATTGATATATCCCATTTTAGTTAGGTGATTATCTACCGTTTTACTGGAAATGTTAGTGGCATCTATTATTTCTTGCACACTATATCGGATTTTCAGCGAGCATGGTCTTGATAAAATCTATATTCGTCATTGCTGGCTAAATCTCTTAAACCAATCGCGGATGATCCTAATAGTTGTAATACCACTCTTGTAAACAGTACAAATCTCGTCTGCATTTGTACTATCATCTTTTTTAAAGCAATAAAACATAACATGCCGCAAATGTTTCCTTTGGTTATTCATATTGAACGGTGTAGAAAAAAGTTTTAAAAAAGACTGTGTCACCAATGAAACGTATTTTAAAAGAGCTTTGGGATGACTGAAACCGATGCCATAAACAGCTAATAAATGTTTGCATATAAAAATAACCAGTTAAAGTCATTCCTAGCATGATGCGAAAGAAACTTATGGGATACCCTAATATTTACTATTTTTTCAAGCATTTTTTTTATCATAAATTTTATATATAGATAAATGAAAATTTCTTCTTGAAAATTTGCCATTATTTTAATAATAAGAATCATTGTTATCTTTAGCTTGTTTTAATTAAAATTTATTTTAAATAATATGAAAATAATTATTTAATAATTAAGACTTCAAATTATTTTTTTTTAAATTTATGTCTGTATAATTTAATTTTTCAAATATATTCGTCAGTTTATGAAAAATATCAAAAATATTAAAACAAAACAATTCAATTCAATTGAAATTATTATGAATTATTTAAAATATTTATTTGTTTTAATCAAAATCTTGATAAACATTTGTAAACCAAAATTGAAATATTTAAGATTAATGTTTATTTATAATTTTATATGGCCTAGATATTTTATTTTAAAACTTTATTTTTGATTATCATATATTTATCTTTTCTTTATTTAGTTACCATAGTATATAGATTTTATTTAATAGGCAATTAGACAGATTCTTTATTCCATGAATGTTAAATAATGATCATTGGCAAATATATATATATATATATTGCCAATATATTGCCAAAAAATATATATATATATAGCAAATGAATAAAAAAAAAATATATTTTTTAATAATATGATTCATAATATATATTTGTAAATATTATTTGTTATTGTATATACATACATATATATATATATATAAATTAGAAAACCAAAAATAGAATTTTCTTTTATGCAGGACATATAGAAAGATATAGAATCTAAATATATAATAAAATTCTAATGGTAATATCTTGAATGTTACATGTTATATAAATCGAATTAAATTTTTTAAAAAATTGTAGGTATATAATGATAATTCTAACATTGATAATTAATTTTCTAAAAAAACAAATATAAAAAAATATAATTGGATGTTTTTGACATGTCATTTTCTATACATATTCTGTAAATTTGTCTATATTAATAAAAAATAAATTTTTTAGCCATTTCCTAATAATGACACAAGAATTATATAAAATGTTGTCATTAAAAAAAAATATTGTGACAGAAGACATATAAATAATAATGGAGATATATAAATAAAAGACATATAATTAATATAAATTAGGAAATGGTTGCTGTGATTTAATTGATATTTAAAGAAAATCTTTCGAAAGAAAAGAACAAAGGAAATATTGTATAAAACTGTGTAAATAACCGGTATGTGTGATCTTATTGTGCATGCAGGCGCTCGTATGTATGTATGTACATGTATATTTTACAATATTAAAGAATGAATTTTTACTTAACCATTATGATATCCGAACCGAAAGATTAGACTTGCTATTATCTTATTGTTTAATGCTAGATGTATTATTCAGAAAAATAAAGAAATATTTATATTTTATGTTTTATTATATGTAATTTTTACATCGATAAATCAAGACAAAATAGTTATAATATTTAAACGAATCTTGAATAAATAGAAAAATATCGCGTTCAGAAAATTCTAAAGTTAAGGACATATAAGGTATTAGAGAACATGTAATTGTTTCATTGTCATTGTTAATGATGAAAATAAAATTGGAATATAATTATTATTAATATCAATGTAAAAGAAAATTATTATTATTTCGAAGGTAATCATAAAATATTGAAAATTTTTCAAAAAAGGAAATAGGAATCGATTTGCATTTTTTGCATACAGAAAAACTTAGCAAAAATGCTTATAAATGCTTATAAATTATAATATGTATATATGTTAATGAAAAAAATATAAATTATTTGTATTATTAATCGTAAGAAATCAAAAACAACGGATATGAAAAAGAATAAAATAAAGAAGTAAAATAAGAAAACGAGGAGAAGAGACAATATATGAAAGTTTTGCGGTTATACAGAGGAAAGAGGTTCTAACAACATTCTGTTGAGAGAGAGCGAGTGGCTGCACGTGACGACACAATGCCGTTTGAATTCGCCTCCTTGTTTAAAAATCGGCCAGAGACGGTCACGATGACAAGGAAAGATCGTGCTCCGTTCTTCATAGCTTCGGCCTCTTCAGTCTTCCGAATAGCCTCATCCTCTCCACCTTCGCTATCGCAGCAACCCCGATTTCTTCCTCCACCTCTGAATCTTTCTTATTCATCCTCTTGATCTTTCCTCTTCTGTTACCTATACTGTTCAATATCCTTTTTTCTACCTCTTGCTGCTTCTTTATAAACGGTGATCACGAAATCGAGCACGTTCGATGTGACTAACTAGTTAGTTTCCGACTCGTAATCATAATTATTTTTTTAAATTATTCAAATGTAATCTCTTTATGACATCAAAAAACACAAAAATGAAAAAATTAAGAGATATTTTTATATATTTTCGACAATTCAATATAAACAAATAATGTTGTATTCTTACTTGTGTACATAATATATAGAATTCATTAAAATACATAATTGTATATATTGTATATATAAAATTAATATGTATATTTAATTGTATATATAAAATACATACGTATATATAGAATATATACGTAGAAAATGAATTGTAAAAAAATTACATTTAGATAATATTTTCGATATGAAGCAATTTGTCTATTCATTATTATAATTGCTTCCACATATTTGACTAAAAAAAAAAAAATGCTATTACGTAATGTTTAGCGTCTCGTAAAAAAAACAAAAATTTATCATGGGTATGAAATTTTGATAAAACAATTTTTTGCGGAATATTATATTTTATTTCTTTTTATATTCTTTTTGTTTTTTTATGAAAACAAATTTTCCATCTGAAATGTAAAACGTAAAATTTTCATACGTGAAATTTTCTATTCTATATAAAAATTTCTTTCTCTTCATTGAAATATTTAATTTGAAAACTAAAAAAAACTGACATGTAAGATGCAATATGATTACTTACAATATGATTAATAGTCAAAAAAATTGACGAATTATGTATAAAGACAATTATATCTGGATGAATCTTATATTGTTAATAGAAGAGAAGAAAAAAATTGTTCAATTATATAATATAACATAAATAATAGATTGTACAGCATTTTAAATACATATTTATATTTTTTAATAAAGATTGATTTTAGCTCAGTGACTTCAAAGTTTATCTAATAATGTTAGAAAAGATCAAGGCAATTTGAGATAATTGAATTATAATATTACGCATATTTAGATAAATTTTTAAAGTATAATCAATTTCAGTCTGAAGAAATTATATTATTAAAGTTATTAAATATCGTATTAGATGAAGCATCGATCACGTAATTACAAAAAAATGATCAAGCATTTTTCACAGGTCTAATTAATTTTCTTCGATCTTAATGAAATAAAAAAAATATCCGAATCTATAATCTGTTTTTAACTTGTTATTATTTTTTGATTATTTATGATCCAATCCAATGGGAGTCAATTCTAATGATCGAAAATTATCCGATTACTATATATATTTGTAGAGATCACATTTTCTTCTGTAATAATAATATTCAAAATGATTTTTAATGAAAAAATGATTTTAAAGAATTCTAGTGTAAATAGAAATATATTTAAAAAATCTGATAGTTTCAAATATATAAAGTTAAAGTGTACAAAATAAAATAACTGGAATATAACAATCTGGCATAATAGCATATATATACACTCGAAAATTTTGTATTTTAAATTGACATTGAAGAATACTTCAAATGCAAAATAGCAACACCGATTAATAAGCAGACACAGATAAACTCGCTGCAACTTCATATTCTATTTTCTTCGATAAAGGATTAGTACATTTTATCTTTCCAAACTTTTGAAATTTCTTTAATCCGGATAAAACACGATCGTAATAAATTTTCACATTTAGCTTATTATTATACGATCTACGTACCATGAGGACTATTATAATTTATCCTTGTGCGATTTGCTCGAATAATAATCGAATGGGCTAGTCGTTCGCGTGACTAACCCGTTGTTGTTGCTGCAGTTGTTCGCGAATTATCGATTCGCGAATATTTCCCTTCGTCTGTGGTCATGCGCAGTAATATTCCCGACCTAACTTTGGAATAGAGTGGGGGAATAAGTACAAAAGAGTGGAGGAGGAGAGGGAGATGAACATGCTGTGAAACGTCCTTGATAGGATACGCCTTCTCGTGTATGCGTCGTGTATCCGTGCGCAAGAAAATGTGCTCACTTTGGATGCTAACGTGGTACATGCGCTCTGTACTTTTAATGCCGCATCGTCGACAGGTATATTTCGAACATGATTTTCAACTTTAAATGTGTCGATTACTTTTTTATAATAAGCATATATAGATCGTTAAAATGCAATAGTCATCGCAATATGATGTGTCATTAGGTAAACTTTATACAATAACTGTTGTTTAAAACGCATTCGAATAGATAATGAAAATTCTTTTTTCAAATAGATCAAAAAAAAAAAAAATTGATTAATTATTGTAATTGTTAAAAGGGATAGATGATATTGCAAAGATATTTCAAATAAATTGGAATTAATTTTTTATTGGATTTACGATAGTAGGTCAGTCATGAAACAAGACGCAAAATCAAATTCGAGGATACCATGATCTGGCGGGCTTTCTTCAATCACTCAATATCTCGTAACTGTCGAATTCGATGATATACCACGGAGCGATGTCCTGTGAACATTTCTATTGCAAATATTTGTTCTTAAATATTATTTAAGGTTCAGCAAATGTGTATAATAAATATTAATTAATATTAATTAATTATACTTGTATAATAAATATTAATTTATGAAATTTATAATAATCGAGAAAAATTATGACGAACGAAATGTTAATTTATAATGAGTAAATAAACTAGGAAGCGAATATAGAATTGAACGATGGATAGAAAGATAGATAAAAAAATTTTTTTTAGGACAATCAAAAGCTGGTGAAAAATAGATGAACTCGAAAGATCGAGAATAAAAAAGAAAGAAAATAAGTAGATGTTAGAAGCGACGTACTGTGCAAGGCAGAAGGCAACCGACAACGTGTGTACCGTTGTTTTTAGTTGGAAAAATACGGTGAGATAAGAGGGTGGAAGAGGTGGAAAATCGGCGATAGGGGAAACTGCGCAAGAGGGAGGGAGAAAGCTCGAAGAGCCAAAAAGCGAATAGGGGAAGATGAACGAGAAAGGGAGAGAAGAAAGGGAATAGGAAAAAGAAAGACAGATAAACGCGAAGCTGATAGCAAGGCAAGGGCATCGTGGGTCGTCGAAGTAGGGGGAACAGAGCGAAGGATAGAATCGAGGCGAAGGGAAACAGACATTTGGGGTGGAGATGGTTGGAGCTCCCTGGACGGGAACGATAAAAAGAAAGATGGCGGATCACGCGACACTTTTTTGCTCTATGTCAATATGCGGAGTAAGCAACATGCGATCCTTGGATCGATGAAGAACATGTTTGAGATATCGATGATATTGATATCGCTATCGATTCACAGTGACATGCCGTGTAAATTTTCGCTTACAGGTAATATAATCACTGATGGTCGGTCGGAGATGATATAGATGATTTCCCGGAGAAGAGAAAGGATCCATTCTACGAGTCGCGTTGCTTCTCGGAAGAACGGAAACGGGTATAAAGGGTAGGAGGGTTGAAAGAGAAAGGGGATAGATGACGATAACTGCGTGAAGAGGAAGAGAGAGAGAGAGAGAGAGAGAGAGAGAGAGAGAGAGAG